TCATGTGTTTAGCCTCATTCTGAACAGTTTTTTTTCTAGTTGTAATACCTTCTGCCTAGAAACCTGTCTTTCATACCAATGGCTTTCATGTTTCAGTCGCTCCACTATACTTTCAGCATATTTTTGTTTAAAATTTTCCATCATAGATCAACTGAACATCTGACTTCTTAGGTACTCATATTATTGCAGTTCATCTTTACTAGCTGTTCAAACCCAATACTCCTGTTACTCAAAAATCAACTCCTGTTACTAGCAGTGAGATATGTTAACCTCTATAAACCTGATTATTTATGTTGTGGAGATTAAGTGAGATTATATTTGCAAAGGACTTAATTACTATAGTTTCTGGCATAAAGAAATATTCATAATTATGATTTGTAATTAGTTGTTTTCTTGACTTATCTAAACAAATCAAACACCTGTGTAGATTTCCTGCTGGTTTCCACATTTTTGCTGCTTTTCTCTGTAAGATCTTTTACAAGATACTGCTCCTCTTCCCATCACTTGAATGATACTATTCTTCAGTATTCCAATCTGATGATTTATCTATTGTGATTCAGAATTCTTGTAAAAGAATACTACTTTTTGAATCCCAAACAGCAAGAGAAACAAGTTAATGATTATTACAGATGGCAATATATTGATGTGTCTTGCATTACCCTCTTCTAATTGTGTTCTTTACAATAGGATTTATATTTTCTCATAGAGCCTTTCCTCCTTAGTAATTTTATCTTCATGGCAAAAAAAAAGCCACAAAAAACCACACAATTATTGCATTATGTGTAATTTTCTGCTCTTTGAAAAAGAGAACCAAAAAATCATCTGCAGTAAAGCTTAGGTTTGCTCAAACTCCTATTGTCAAATCAGATCGTTTAGATGAGAAAGGAATGGCAACTTCTATTTTGGGAATTTGAATCCCAGCAACAGGTACCTTTCAAGAATGAAACCTATTCCATTTTCTTCTAAGTAGAAAACAGTTAGACTCTGTCAATCAAAGTACAAAACTTCCACAAGGGAAAAGCATTCTAGAACATAAAGCCATTCAGTGATCTAAATCAAATGAAAAGGTGGTGGATGTCTTAAGCAGGCCCTTGTTTTAACATGTTATATTCCCAACACCTGCTACAGGGCAGCAAGGGCTGAAATGTGCCCTGTGCAGCAGGCTCCTGACTGACTTGGAAATGATGTCATGTGAGGCAGATTCGTGTGTGACCTCAGAGTATCCTTCATACATCACCCAAGAATAATAGCTTCAGGTCACCAAATGCCTTTTCCCTGGCTGCTGTGCGTCATGCTTGTGCTCATCCTTCTTTTCTGGTCACACCCATCTAGACCTGCTTGAGATCTCTCAACTCAGCTTGCTTCTTGTTTTACAATGAGGACTCTGGCTATCTATTTTTAAAGGAAGGACTTGTGGACTAGTTGATTGGTGTGATGACTAAGGGTTTCAGTTTTTCCCCTCCTTCCCTACCTCTTCTGGCTTCAAGGCTGCCTTTAGCAATGTTTCCAATTCCCAATTCATTGCCTCACTTCCTAGACAAATCTTTATTTCTGTCTTTACTCTTGAACTAGATCCAACTCATGGCCAGAACATCAAAAACAATTTAGGAAATGGAAATGGCTCTTACGCAATCTTTTGTGGGCAAAATTCCATGATTAACATGTTTTCTGTATGAATTTAACTAAAAAAGAGAAGGCTGAGGAAGAGGCCCAGAAGTAAAGCAGAGCCTTTTGCTGTCTGTTGCCCTTAGTACTAGTAGTAAATCTTTCTTTCTGAGCAGAATCCCACCTTACTAAACATATGTGTGAGCACATACACATGCCAATACATACACACAATGCACTTTAAAAACATGAAAAGGGTTTATTTTCCTTCTAGATTTTCTAGGTATAATAGACTTTTAAAAAAATTACAGTGAACAACAGGAAAGAAAATGTAATCTGAAACCACTGGCTATAAAAAGACAGAGGTCAAAAAATTAGCTAGCCCTAGGAAACTGTCGAGAAGTAAGAAAAAAGAGGTTCTTAAGAGGAGGCAAAAGAAGTGTCAGGGCACGGGTCAGAGTCAAGAGGCTTTCTGATGGATTTATCCCACCCCAAAGACCCAACTCCACTGCTGCTTCCTGTCTAAATCCTGGCTTCCAAGAGCAAAGCCAAACCTAGTAATGAGTGGTTATACGGAAACAGTTAAGGCAGTATTACTACAAGGAGACACACAGCTTTTCATTGGAGTTGCTGAACCATAAGAACACGGGGCATGAAAGGCAAGAAGCAACTGTGGCAGACAGGGTTTTTGTATGATGGAGTTGGTCCATTCAGGCAATTTGAAAAGTTGTTCTTTTATCAATTAAAACCATAGGGGTTTCTGTATAATGCTTCACACCAGACCTATCAAAATCACCCACACTTCCTTTGCAGTGCCCATTTGTTCTTTGGACTTCCCATTTAGTAGAGCTAGCTAACAGATGGAGTCTGTGTATTTTTACTTTAAAATAGCTCTGTCTTAGGTCTGGCTCCCCAGAAGCCACCTCCAAGACAAATTACACCGTGCAAGTGGTTTTTAATGAAATGCTCCTAGGAAAGACTAGTACACTTGAGGAGAAGCAAGACATGGAGAGGGAAGATGCCAATCAATGGGGCAGGGTTTCAGGCCCAGGCTTTGGAGAATGGCTTCAGCCTGATCCCACAGAGGTTGGAAACAAAAGTACATGAAAGCCCAGAAGGGTGCACAGATATTGTAAACGGGATTGTGGGGGCCTGAGTAGATAACTGCTGGTGTCCAGTAAAGGCCCTTTAAGCAGTCATGACACAGCCACCAGGAATTTAAAGCTTGGTGATCAGTCTGACATGTATTAAGTATTGGGGCGAAATACAAGCCAATTGTAAATTGTAGGATTCCCTGTGCCTTGTCTTGTGTCAAATAATTTTTAAACTTTTCAATAACTTTAATCCTATGTTTAATCATGATGTTATTCATATCTGCTGGCCATGATCCATAAAAAAGAAGATCTGAGATAAACCCATAACCTGGGATATGACTTCCCTTTATAGTGAATCCATGGTAATTATAAACACATTTTTAAAAACACATGGATATATACACATACCTATGTATTATAGAGTCAATCAAGTAAAGTACAAAGTTAAACTGCTCATTTGTGATCACAGGTAAAACCAATAGTTAATTAAATGCTTTTTTTTAATAACCATTATTAAAGAGTGGTGACATTTTCCAGCCCAGGCTTAAAATTATGTATTTGTCTTAACAGAACTTAAACTGGGAAAAGGAACCTGTAAAACATGCTTACCAGTGCTCACATACATCAGGGAGCTACTGAGCTTTGTCAGATATCCACATTCTCAGACTCCACCCAGTATTTCTCCCTGGGACAAGAGTAAGTTTGGTTCTTTGCTGCAGAGGAGACTTCCCACCTTTATTCAGTTCTTTGCTTCAACCTCCAAGCAAGCCCTATTCTCATATATATAACAGGCATGGCAAGTTATATGTTTCTGTCTCCCAGGTGTGCCAAAGTGAAGGCCTGTATGTGAATAGGGCTTGCTTGGAGGTTGAAAATTCTATTCCATTATATATGTGTGTGTGTTATATTATATCCCATTATATTTAATATATGCTTTATATATGTAATATGTATACATAACATATATGCATGCAATATATACATAGTAGGAAAACAGTGTACCTACTACATGAGCAATGTTGAATACCAGACGATCTCTAGAAATTGGAATGGACTGATACTTAGTTTATGATTTCTTTAGTTTTATCTTCTATCCCTGGACTGTATGTTCAATGTGATCTAGACAAGGGCAGCACTTACTATATGTTGTTGTCAACTGAATCACATTTTGTCTAAGTGATTTTTGAACAGCAGAAATAATGCTAAAGCTCTCTTAGTGAAGCAAACTAAAACTGTTTCCAGACATAAAACTTCTAGTCCAAGAAAGCCAAAGTGAAGAATCCACTCATGGAAGTCCAGAATGATCTTTCATGAATACCAACAATATCATATGTCAGCTTACCAGCCTTCATTTCTATGTGATTTTCTACCAAAAAAAAGCACAATACATAATTCCGAATTAAGACTCTTTAATCTAGAAGCACAAGTATCAATAGAATTTCACAATGCAAAGGGATTTTTATTTTTCAGGTGGTAAGAACCAGTAATTTAACAGCTTTGTCTGAAACATAATGAAAATTTAGCTGCAGAAATTCATAGAAACTCTTTGTCCATCACCTAGTATCTAAAAGAAAGAGATGATACAGGAAAGAAAGTTATCCAAAGTGTGTCAGCCAACTCTGAATTTCAGTTTTCACAGTGGCAAAGAGGAAAGAGGATTAATTTGAGTCAAAAGTATTTAGTGCCTAGCACTTCAGTAATTTTCTAACACAATTAAAAGGATAAATAAAATAACAAAGCAAAGATTAGAAAATTACAGACCACAGTATTCAGTTCACAGAGCTGAAGATACTTATGAGTGAGAACTTACTATTCTTCAAAGATTCCAAGTCTCATTTTCAAATGGTCTACAAGCTAAATGACACAGGGAAGAGACATACTCTTTATCTGTCAAATGTATTCTCATTTACTGAGGTGATGTTCTGAGGAAATGAAAGCCTAGGGGTGCAAGTAGTTTTATTTATTTTTTAGAGACAGTGTCTTGCTCTCACCCAGGCTGGACTGCAGTGTTGCAATTATGGCTCACTACAGCCTCAAACTCCTGGGTTAAGAAATCCTCCTGCTTCAGCCTGCTGCACAGCTGATACTACAGGCAGTATCATGCTTGACTATTTTTGTTGTTGTTGAGTTGGGGATCTTACTATGTTCCCCAGGTTGGTCTCAAACCCCTGGCCACAGCTTTCCAAAGTATTGGGATTGCAGCACGAACCAATGTGCCTGGCCACAAGTAGTTTTAATTTTCCTTCATGCTTCTAAGGATTTGGGGAACTGCCATACCTATGTTTTCTCTTCTTTTCATAGATAAGAAATACTGCCAAGGTTAATGGTGGAGAGAAAAGGAGGTCCCTGTGATATTCCTTGGCTTCTCCCCTCGCTTTCAGGCCTGAAAACAACTAATTCAGCAAAAGAATGCATCTGTCTGCTAATTCACTCTGAAAAAGAAGTTGCAAGTTAAAAAAGGTATTTTAACTTTTATAATGAAATAGTATATTTTTAGATTTGAAAAAAAATACTGATCACTGAAAACCAAGTCACTTTATCTAAATAGGGGTTGTTTTAAAAATGAAGCTATGTTTTAGTATAAGGTTTCATCAACCAGTTATCATTTACAATCTAATTAATTGCTTCATTTTTTCCCTTGGTTCCTTGGTGGGGACACTCACAGGATTATTATTATTTTCTCATTGTACTTTAAGTTCTGGGACACATGTGCAGAAACATGCTTACATAGGTATATGCATCCCATGGTGGTTGGCTGCATCCATCACTCCGTCATCTACATTAGGTATTTCTCCTAGTGCTCTCCCTCCTCTAGGCCTCCAGCTTTTGACAGGCCCTGGTGTATGACGTTCTTCTCCCTGTGTCTGTGTTCTTATCGTTCAACTCCGACTTGTGAGTGAGAACGTATGGTGTTTGGTTTTTTGTTCTTGTGTTAATTTGCTGAGAATGATGATGGTTTCCAGCTTCATCCATGTCCCTGCAAAGGACAAGAACTCATCCTTTTTACAGCTGCATAGTATTCCCTGGTGTATATGTGTCACATTTCCTTATTCAGTCTATCATTGATGGGCATTTTGGTTGGCTCCAAGTCTTTGCTTTTGTGAACAGTGATGCAATAAACATATGTGTGCATGTGTCTTTATATTAGAATGATTATAATTATTTGGGTATTTACCCAGTAATGGGATTGCAGGGTCAAATGGTATTTACAGTTCTAGAACCTTGAGGAATCACCACACTCTTCCACAATGGTTGAACTAATTTACACTCCCACCAACAATGTAAAAGCATTCCTATTTCTCCACACCCTCTCCAGCATCTGTTGTCTCCTGACTTTTTAATGATTGAGATGATATCTCAGTGTGATCTTGATTTGCATTTCTCTATTGACCAGTGGTGATGAGCTTTTTTTATATGTTTGTTGTCTGCATAAATCTCTCCTTTTGAGAAGTGTCTGTTCATATCCTTTGCCCACTTTTCGACAGGGTTTTTTCCTGTAAATTTAAGTTCTTTGTAAATTCTGGATATTAGCCCTTCATCAGATGGGTAGACTGCAAAAATGTTCTCTCATTCTGTAGGTTGCCTGTTCACACTAATGGTAGTTTCTTTTGCTGTGCAGAAGCTCTTTAGTTAAATTAGATCCCATTTATCCATTTTGGCTTTTGTTGCCATTGCTTTTGGTGTTTTAGTCATGAAGTCTTTGCCCATATGTGTGTCCTGAATGGTATTGCCTAGGTTTTCTTCTAGGTTTTTTATGGTTTTAGATCTTATGTTTAAATATTTAATTTATCTGGAGTTAATTTTTATATAAGGTTTAAGGAAGGGATCCAGTTTTAGCTTTCTGCATATGGCTAGCCAGTTTTCCCAACACCATTTTAATAAATAGGGCATGCTTTCCCCATTGCTTGTTTCTGTCAGGCTTGTCAGAGATGAGATGGTTGTAGATGAGTGGCATTATTTATGAGGCCTATGTTCTGTTCCATTGGTCTATATGTCTGTTTTGGTACCAGTACCATGCTGTTTTGATTACTGTAGACTTGTAGTATAGTTTGAAGTCAGGTAGTGTGATGCCTCCAGCTTTGTTTCATTTGCTTAGAAACGTCTTGGCTATGTAGGCTCTTTATTGGTTTCATATGAAATTTATAGTGGTTTTATTCCAATTCTGTGGAGAAACTCAGTGGTAGCTTGATCGGGATAGCATTGAATCTACAGATTACTTTGGGCAGTATGGCCATTTCATTATATTGTTTCTTCCTATTCATAAGCATGGAATGTTTTTCCATTTATTTTGTCCTCTCTCATTTCCTTGAGCAGTGGTTAGTAGCTCTACTTGAGGAGGTCCTTCATATCCCTTGTAAGCTGTATTCCTGGTATTTTATTCTCTTTGTAGCAATTGTGAATGGGAGTTCACTCATGATTTAGCTCTCTGTTTGTCTGTTACTGGTGTATAGGAATGCTTGTGATTTTTGCACAGTGATTTCTTACTCTGAGAGTTTGCTGAAGTTGCTTATCATCTCAAGGAGATTTTGGGCTGAGATGATGGGGTCTTCTAAATACACAATCATGTTGTCTGCAAATAGAGACAATTTGACTTCCTCTTTGCTTATTTGAATATCCTTTTTATTGCACTGTGGTCTCAGAGACTGTTATGATTTCCATTCTTTTGCATTTGCTGAGAAGTGTTTTACTTCCAATTATGTGGTCAATTTTAGAATAGATGTGCTGAGAAGAATATATATTCTGTTGATTTGGGGTGGAGGGTTCTGTAGATGTCTATTAAGTCTGCTTGGTTCAGAGCTCAGTTCAAATCCTGGATATCCTTGTTAATTTTCTGTTTCGTTGATCTAATATTAACAATGGAGTGTTAGAGTCTCCCACTATTATTGTGTGGGAATCTAAGTCTCTTTGTAGGTCTCTAAGAACTTGCTTTATGAATCTGAGTGCTCCTGCTTTGGGTGCGTATATATTTAGGATAGTTAGCTCTTCTTGTTGTATTGATCCCTTTACCATTATGTAATGCCCTTCTTTGTCTCTTTTCATCTTTGATGGTTTAAAGTCTGTTTTATCAGAGACTAGGATTGCAACACCTGCTTTTTTTTTGCCTTCCATTCGCTTGGTAAATATTTCTCCATCCTTTACTTTGAGCCTGTGTGTGTCTTTGCATTTGAGATGGGCCTCCTGAATATAGCACACTGATGGGTCTTGACTCTTCATCCAAGTTGCCAGTCTGTGTCTTTTAATCAGGGCATGTAGTCCATTTACATTTAAGCTTAATATTTTTATGTGTGAATTTGATCCTGCCATTATGATGCTAGCTGGTTATTTTGCCCCTTAGTTGATGCAGTTTCTTCCTACCATCCATGTTCTTTACAATTTGTTATGTTTTTGCAGTGGCTGATGCCAGTTGTTTCTTTCCATGCTTAGTGCTTCCTCAGGAGCTGTTGTAGGGCAGGCTTTGTGGTGACAAAATCTCTCAGTGTTTGCTTGCCCATAAAGGATTTTATTTCTCCTTTGCTTATCAAGCATAGTTTGGGTGGATATGAAATTCTGGGTTGAAAATTGTTTTAAGAATGTTGAATATTGGTATTGGCCCCCTGTCTCTTCTGGCTTGTAAGGTTTCTGTTGAGAGATCTGCTGTTAGTCTGATGGGCTTGATGAATCTGACAATTACATGTTTTGGGGTTGCTCTTCTTGAGTTGTACCTTTGTGGTGGTCTATGTATTTCCTGAATTTGAATGTTTGCCTGCCTTGCTAGGTTGGAGAAGTTCTCCTGGATAATATCCTGAAGAGCGTTCTCCAACTTTTGGTTTCATTCTCCTTTTCACTTTCAGGCACACTGATCAAATGTAGATTTGGTCTTTAAATGTAATTCCATATTTCTTGGAGGCTTTGTTAATTTCTTTTCACTCTTTTGTCTCTATTCTTGTCTTTTCACTTTATTTCATTGAGTTCATCTTCAATCTCTGATATCCTTTCTACTGCTTGATCGATTTAGATATTGAGATTTGTGTATGCTTCACCAAGTTCTCATGCTGTGTTTTTCAGCTCCCTCAGGTCGTTTATGCTCTTTTCGATGCTGGTTATTCTAGTTAGTATTTCATCTAACCTTTTTTCAAGGATCTTAGTTTCCTTGCATTGGGTTAGAACATGCTCCTTTAGCTCAAAGAATTTTGTTATTACCCACCTTCTGAAGCCTGCTTCTGTCAAACTCATTCTCCATCTAGTTTTGTTCCTTTGCTGGTGAGAAGCTGTGATCCCTTAAAGGAGAAGAGGAGTTCTAGTTTTTGGAGTTTTCAGCCCTTATCTATTTTTGGTGTTTGAGGTCTGTGGCCTTTGGATGGGGTCTCTGAGTGGACATTCTTTTTGTTGATGTTGAAACTCTTTCTGTTTGTTAGTTTTCCTTCTAATAGTCAGGCTGCTCTGCTGCAGGTCTGCTGGAGTTTGCTGGTTGTCTAGTCTAGACCCTGCTTGCCTGGGAATCACCTGTGGTGGCTGCAGAATAGCAAAGATTGCTGCCTGTTCCTTCCTCTGGTAGCTTCGTCCCAGAGTGGAACTCACCAGATGCCAGCCGGAGCTCTCTTGTATGAGCTGTCTGTCAGCTCCTGTTGTGAGGTATCTCCCAGTGAGGATAGATGGGGGTCAGGGAGCCACTTGATGAGGCAATTTGTCCCTTATCAGAATTGAGTCTGTGTTGGGAAATCTGCTCCTCTCTTCAGATCTGCCAGACAGGGACGTTTAGGTCTGCTGAAGCTGTACCCACTACCGTCCCTTTTCCCAGGTTCTCTGTCCCAGGAAGGTGCGGGTTTTATAAGTCCCTGAGAGGCTGCTGCCTTTCTTCAGAGATGCCCTGCCAGTGAGGACATCTAGTGCGGCAGTCTGCCTGCAGCTGCTGAGCTTTGTTGAGCTCCACCGTTCGAACTTCCTGGCAGCTTTGCTTAGACTGTGGAGTTGAAACTGCCTACTTGAGCCTCAGCAATGACGGACACCCCTCCGCTCACCAAGCTCAAATGTCCAGGTCAAGCTTGGACTGCTGTGCTGGCTGGAAGAATTTCAAGCCGGTGGATCTTAGCTTATTGGTCTCCGTCGGGGTGGGATCCATGGAACCACACAACTTGGCTCCCTGGCTTCAGCCCCCTTGCCAGGGGAGTGAATGATTCTATCTCACTGGTGTTCCAGGCACTGCTGGGGAAGGAGAAAAAAACTGCTGTGGCTTGCTCGGTTTCTGCCCTAATGGCTGCCCAGTTTTCGTGCTGGAAACCCAGGGCCCTTGTGGTTGTATAGGTACTAGAGGGAATTTCCTGTTCTGCGGGTTGTAAAGACTATGGGAAAAGCACAGTATCTGGGCCAGAGTGAAGGAAACAGTCCCTAATGGCTTCCCTTGGCTAGGAGAGGGAGTTCCCCAGCCCCCTGTGCTTCTCACATGAGGTGGTGCCCCACCCTGCTTCAGCTCGCCCTCTTAGGCTACACCCACTGTCCAACCAGTCCCAATGAGATGAACCAGGTGCCTCTGTTGAGAATGTGGAGATTAACTGTTTTCTGTTGATCTTGCTGGGAGCTGCTTGCCAGAGCTGTTCATATTCGGTCATCTTTCCCAGGATACCCCGGATTATTTTCAAATAGTGTTATGTGATTCAAGAAGTCCTGTAATTTATACCACATTGGCATTTACTAAATAGAATAAGCAGTGTTCCTGCAACTGTATTCAACTTATGTTAAAATCCGTTAATTCTAAAAAGAAAAATAATACAAACAAAACTGAGCCATGATCGCTACTTCCACAAAACTTGTAAATGGAACGCATACCCAATATCGGTGACATATGGCATAGAAATTCATAAAGGAGAAGGAGAGAGAATGAGAGTGATTTCTGCATGGTGTAAAAAAGAAAGACTTCAGTGGAAAACGGCAAAGCTCAGACTTGAGAATTAGGTAGGACCATAAAAAATGGAAGGAATGGTGTGAGGCACATACAACAGGGAAATTACACATGAAAATAGATGGAATGTAAATGATATAGAGGCAAGAAAACATTTTCAGCCAAATGGGGGTTTTGTGATTTATCTGGAGCATTATGTAGGAGTGGGTGATAAACCTATGAAGGTGGTTTTAAGATAAGCTCACCAAATATCTTGAGTTCACTTTTGAATGGGTGATAAATGGCATCATGGATAGTCTTTAGAAGGTATACTGCAACAATCTTCTGGAAAGGTAATTGAATAGGGAAGAATGAAAAGACACAGAGATCTCTTTTATATGGCAGTGATCCAGGTAGCACTAAATGGGTGAAGAAAAGCAAAGGATAGACTGGCAGGATAATTGAGATTTCAAAGAAGAATTAAATGGAATTAATACTTACTTACTTATATGCTACCTGAAAGGAAACCTACTACTTTATAGAATACCTATGGCAAATGCAGTTCTAGTAATTCATAAGGAGCTGAATCATTTATGATAGGAGATAACCATTAGCGTCTTAGAGAAAGCAGTCCTACAAATGATTTTTTTCTTCATTTTCAAAGATGGTATCTGTAAAGATATACTTAGCTTAATATATACATGATTAATATTATACACATATATCTCATTTCTGATTTATTTTCAAATAGTTTTATATTTAAAATAACATTTCAAAAATGTAAGGATGAACAATAGTAGATCGTAGGTTACGTGCATGTAGCTTTTAGCCTAATGAGCGAAAAATCCACAATTGTAGAAAACCTACAAACATTTTAAAACTTGTTCATTAAAAAAAATTAGGAAAAATTGCCGTCAAGCAATACAAAACATATTCCCAACTGGAACATCATATGTGAATAAATAATATTATTAGACTACAATTGAATTTAATGACAGTAAATCAGTATCTATCTTTGTTCAAAACTGAAGAAAGTGAGATTTCTGTCCAACAGACAGACAAAAGACTGGAGTCTCAAATAGTATCTGTTTGAAAGAACAAAATGACTCAAGATTTCAAGCATAAATTTATGTCTGAAGATATTTTACTTTCAACCACAGATTATGTACTGTGACTTAATAAGTGAATGTTAATTTCTAACACAGAACACCCAGTGAGTTTCACCACATACGTTCTCATGGCTTCTCAGGTAAATACAGACTTATTCAATATCAAAATTACATCTTATTTACTCAGTTTTTAAATGATTCCAGAGAAGCTCACTATGTTCCCTTATGATCAGAAAAATGCTAAATTGGGATCATCTCCATGCCTGAGCTGAATGGAACAACTAGGTGTCCTCAGTTGTTTCAACATGTCCCTGCCATGTTTGAAATGGCTTCCAATGTTGCATTTATAAAAATGGCTAAGAGAATTCCACTAAAACAGCAGTGACTTCCAAATAAACTTCAAATCAATTATTTTTCAACATGACTGTGGTCACATAAACTTTCGTACAGGAGGGTACCAAAATTCCAATGCCATTTCTCATTGCAGACTAGCTTTGTTATTTAGAGACAGACATCTGGCCAACTCACAGCAAACAGAGGAGAAGCCATTTGATCAATTTAGCTGAAGTGTTGTTTTGTATATATGAAGATAAAGTTGAAAAAGGATTCCAGAAGGCTCTTTTAAGGGATCAGTCATAGTGTTTGACAAATACCAAATACTGAACACCTACTACTGAATGAATGAATTATGTGTGGTATAAAGAATATCCATTTTATACTTCAAAAATCAAAATTTTTCCTAAAAGTTGCCAAAACACACTTTTTCCAAAGTTTGCATAGGAGACAATTCCTCCAAGTGAATGAGAATAGCTACTATTTATTGAAAATCTGCCATTGCTAATCCTTTTGCCGACTATACTAGTGATCCATAGGATAAACATGTAGAATCTGGTGTTACTCTTCCTATTTTACAGATGAGGAAAATCATGCCCAGAGCAGTTATTTCCTTAAAGTCACTAGCATATGTAGGATAAATAAGCTGACCAGAAGCTGAAAGAAGACAGAATAGTCTGAGGATTTAGAAATTTCCACCAAGAAGCACTTATATTTTGACAAATATATGTGACTTCCTCCCATAAGGTCTTTTATGCTGACTGACTGTGCCAGGAACTGCATGGTAACCTCTGTGACCTGCACGTACACCTCCAGATGTGTTCCTGGAACTAGAAAGTCTGAAGTAACTGGAAAACCTGGAGACATTCTTCTGTTGTTCTCTAATCTCGCCTTAATGGGTAAGGCAACTGGACTTTGTAATCAGCCTTGCTCAACTGATAGGTCAACCTCATGACTCCATACCCTATGACCCCCTCCCCGCTTGCAAAAACCACCCTGAACTGTAACTTCTGTAACTTTCCTGCCCACCCCAAACCTATAAAACCAATTCCTGTCCCACCACCCACTAACTCTTTTTTCGGACCCAGCCTGCCCACACCCAGGTGAATAAAGAACCATGTCGCTCATACAAGGCTTGTTTGGGCGGGGGGTCTCTTCATTCAGAGTGCAATTTAACATTTGATGCTGAAACCTGAATCAGGGGTATTCCTATGGGGAGACTAGCCCCCCGTCCCCATTCTCCCTCTCTGAAGAGCCTTACCTGCGATCTCCGTGCATCAGACCAGCCTGACAACCCTTTTGCCACCTTCAGATTGGGTAAGCAGTTTCTCCTTCTCTCCCTTTAAATCCTCCTCCTCCTAAATAGAGAAGACAAGTCTCTTTCCCTCTATAGAAAAGGAGACAAGTCTTCCTCTCTCTCTTTTCCTTTAAATCCCAAGGAGACAAGTCTCCTTCTCTCTTTCCTTCTTCTGAGGCAAAGGAGACACTATCTGTGTGCTCAAAAACTGACAAAACTCTGTTTCACCTCTAGCCTGGTCTTAAAAAATGTAAAACCTCTTCAACTGTCACCTGATCTAAAACCTAAACGTATCATCATTTTTTTTTTTTTCTGTAACATGGCCTGGCTTCAATACAATGGTTCCAAATGGCCAGAAAATGGCACTTTCAATTTTTCTATTCTGTAAGACCTAAACAATTTTTGTCAACAAATGGGTGAATGGTCTGAGGTGCCCAACTTCCAGGCATTTTTTTTTTACATTCCAATCCCTCCCTAATCTCTGCTCTCAATGCAACCTGTCCCAAATTTTCCTTCTCTCCCTTCCATCTGCCCTGCTTGCCTCTGCTGGCAACCTAGAATCTTCCTTGTACATCTCCCTTCCAACCTTTCTCCTCCCTGCCTGTCCAAACCAGACCCTAATCCAGGTCCTAGCTCCCCCACCCCAGAGCCTCCCTCCTCTCAACCTCCCCACCTCATACCTGGCCTGGCTTATAGTTTAGTGCCACAGCTAACTAACTCTCCTGCCCAACAATTCTCCCTTTTAGAAATTCTTTCTTTTAGAGGTGGCTGGAGCTGAAGGCGTAGGGTGCATGGCCCTTTCTTTTTATCTGACCTTTCCCAAATTGGCCAATGGTTAGATTCCTTTTCATGAGATCTTACTAAACATATACCAGAGTTCCAATACTTAACCCAGTCCTATAATCTCACCTAGAGTGACTTAAATGTCATCCTTACTTCTACTCTCACCTCTGAAGAATGCTTAATATGGATTTTATCACCCAATCAGCCCCTGACATTCAAAAAGCTACATAAATTAAAATCTGGCCCTCAAATTCCTCAACAGGAATTAATCTACTTCACATCTGTGTAGGGTCCTCACTGAAAGTCAGACTGTCCAACTCATGTGGCAACTCCCAGACCAAATCCTTCCCAGATCTCCTCAGCTTGGCAGCTGAAGACTGACCCTACCAGAACATCTCAGAGGCCCCCTGGACCATCACAGACGCCGAGCTTCAGGTAACTTTTATGATGGAGGTTAAGTCCATCCCCTTCGTAATCAATATGGAGGCCACTCATTTCATGCTGCCTTCTTTTCATGACTCTGTCTCCTTGGCCATTATAACTGTTGTGGGAATTGACGGCAAGCCTTCCAGGCCTCTCAACACTCCCCAAGTCTGGTGTCAATTAGGCCAGCACTCCTTCCCACATTCTTTTCTGATCATCCCCACTTGTCCAGTTCCCCTGTTAGGCCAAGATAGCCTAGCAAAATTGTCTGCCTCCTTAGCTATTGCTGGGCTACAGCCATACCTCTTTGCTACCTTCTTCCCTGAACCCATACCTCACTCAATGACTCCCCTCATGTCCCCCTTCCTTAACCCTAGGGTGTGGGACACCACCTCCCCATCCCTTGCTCACTCACCCCTTGTCATCCCATTGAAACATAACCACCCTTACCCTGCCCCGTGCCGGTACCCTATCCCACAGCGGGCTTTAAAGGCCTGTTTAAAACCCTAAAGCCTGTTATCACTAGTCTATTATAACATGGCCTTTTAATTCCTACAAACTCTCCTGTCCAAAACCAGACAAATCCTACAGACTAGCCTGAGACCTCCGCCACATCAATCAGATTGTACTTCCCATACACCTGCTTGTACCAAACCCCTATACCCTCCTATCTTCCACAACTCACAATTCTGTTCTTAACCTCAAAAATGCTTTTTCCTAAAGCCCAAATTTCTTCTCCATCCATTACCTATTTCAATATAATCCTTCACCAGCATACACCTGCTCTCCCTGCCTACCATATCCAGTTAATTTTCCAACCCCCATCCCCCTCCACTAAACAACAGCTTCTCTCCATCCTAGGTTTTGTAGGATACTTTCTCCTCTGAATACTAGGTTTTGCCTTCCTTACCAAACACTTTATAAACTTACAAAAGGAAACTTAGCTGACCCCAAATCCTTCCCCTGTTCTTCCTTTTGTTTGCTGAAGAGGGCCTTAGAAACAGCCCCTACACTAGCACCCCCCAACTCCTCCCAACTTTTTTCCCTTCACATGGCAGAAGTAAAAGGTTGTGCAGTTGGGGTTTTTACACAAGACCTGGGCCCACGGCCAGTCACCTTTTGTTGAAACAACTCAACCTCACAGTCCCAGGCTGACCGTCATCTTTACACACCATGGCCACTGTGGCTGTAACACTCTTAGAATCCCTCAAAATTACAGACTATGCCCCACTTACCCTCTAGAGCTCTCACAACCTCCAAAGTTTAGTTTCCTCTTCACACCTTACACACATACCCTCCCATCGCCTCCTCCAACTCTATTCACTATTCATTGAAACCCCCACAGTAATGATTGCTCTTGGACCTGACTTCAACCGGCCTCTCACTTAATACCCAAACAAACCCTGAACCCCACGACTGTATCTCCGCAATCCACATAGCACCCTCTCCACTTCCCCATATTTCTTTTTTTCCTATTCCAGACCCAGACCACACATGGTTTATTGATGGCAGTTCTTCAAAGCCCAGTTGGTTGGCCAAATCTGCCTATGCTGTTATATCTCGCTCATCTATTATCAAGGCTGCCTCACTCCCCTGATCCGCCACTTCTCAGCAAACTAAACTAATCACCCTAACCCTTGCTGTTACTCTTGCCAAGGGACTACACGTTAATATTTACACTGATTCTAAATATACCTTCCACATCCTTCACCACCATGCTGTTAAATGTGGAGAAAGAGGTTTCTCAAACACAAGGGTCCTCTATTACCAAAGCTCCCTTAATAAAGGCTCTCCTTAAGGCCATTCTCCTCCCAGCCAAGGCCGGAGTTATCTGCTGCAGAGAACACCAAAAACTATCAGATCCCACTGCCCAAGGAAATGCCTTAGCCAACAAAACAGCCAAAGAGCAGCAGATACCTCAGTATCTCCCCCAAAGGGCTGATAGTTTTTCTTCTTACCTATCTCCCCTACCTATTTTCCCTCCAAAAATTCATTTTACCAGTGACTTCCTAGGCAAGGCAAATGGTTCTTAGAACATGGAAAGTTCCTTCTCTCTGAATCACAAGCTCACTCTAGCCTCTCATCGTTTCATGATCACTTCTATGTACAATATAAGCCCCTGGCTAGTCTTTTAAAACCCCCTATTTATTTTCCATCATGGAAGTCCATCCTTAAAACAACCACATCTCAGTGTTCTATCTGTCACTCTACTACTCCTCAGGGCTTTCTCTCAGAACTCCCTCCAACTTTTTCCTACACATCAGACCCATGAATTTTACCATACATAAGATTGACAAACTTCTAGTTTTGCCTAGGTAGGCATTTACCCTATCTCTCACTCCATCCTTGGCTTCCCTCCCCTTGTTCATCAGATGCTTCTCCGGACCCCTCTACCTGCCTGCTCATACCTAACCTTGTTACTAAAAGTGAATGGTTACTCATAGAGACCAAAGGCTTTCTCATACACCATGAAAACAAGACCTCTCCTTCCACACAATTACCCTATCAAATCTCACTACAACTTTTAACAGCTGTGGCCCTTGCTGGTTCCCTTGGTATTTGGGTCCAAAGCCCCAACCCTCTCAGAAAACTTTCTTACCTTTTCGGTTTACACATCCAGTTCTGTGTAAGCCAAGGACTTTTTTTTCCCTCTGTGATTCTTCTACTTACATCTTCCTTCTTATAAACTGGACAGTCACTTGTACCCTAGTTTTCTTTACTCCCAAAATTCAGTTTATCCATGGAGACAAAAGCCTCCCTATTCCTCTTGTGATCCTGACACGACACAAGTGGGTCATTCCATTGATCCCCTTACTTGTAGGGTAGGAACTACTGCTGAATTCAGCACAGGCACAGCAGGCTTTACTGCTTCAGTTGTAAGTCCTTCCATAGTCTCTCGAATGATTTCTCTGCTGGCATTGCAGAATTAATCACTATCCCTTCTTCAAGCCCAAGCAAATTCCCTAGCTGCCATTGTCCTCCAAAACCACAGAGGTCTTGATTTACTGATGGCTAAAAAAGGTCTTTGCCTATTCCTAAATGAAGAATGTTGTTTTTAGGTAAACAAGTCTGGCCTGGTATATGATGCCATCAGTAGATTAAAAGACAGAGCCCAGAAGCTCACTAATCAGGCAGATGGTTTTCTGGACCTGGCTGGACTGGCTGGATACTCTAACTGGGTGCTGGGATTACAGGCTTGAGCCACCGCGCCCAGCCTGGTTGCCCATTTTTATGATTACTATGCTAAATAAGGGGTGGATTATTCATGCCTCCCCTTTATAGACCATGTAGAGTAACTTCCTGACATTGCCATGGCCTTTGTAAACTGTTATGGCACTGGTGGGAGTGTAGTAGTGAGGACAACTACAGGTCACTTTGCCTACAAGTCACCTCTTTTAATCTACTGATGGCATCATGTACCAGGCCAGACTTGTTTACATAAAAACAACATTCTTCATTTAGGTATAGGCAAAAATAAGCCTGTAATCCCAGGATGGCTTCTTCCAATCCTTAGTCCTCTGATACCTATCTTTCTCCTTCTCTTATTTGGACCCCGTGATTTCTGATTAATCTCTCAAATCCTACAAAATAGCATACAAATGATAAGCAATATCAGTCAATATAACACATGCATCTTCTCACAACCCCACAGTATCACCCCTTGCTCTGAGGTCCTCCTGCAGTCTGAATTCATTCCAGTTTTTAGGTTGCTGCACCACCCCTAATCCTGCTCAAAGAAGCCCTGAGAAACACTGCCCCATCACCCCTCTGTGCTGGCACTCCGAATATTCCACTGCCCTCTAGTCTTTGTTTTTCCTTTATATTAGTAATATAAAAAGACAGGAATATAAACTCTTTTAGGTTGACCATGCCAAGGACTGCGCGGTAACCTCTGTGACCTGTACATACTCCTCCAAAGGAGTTCCTGGAACTAGAAAGTCCGAAGTAACTGGCAAACCTAAAAAAGAGAAGAATGACAAACCCCTGTGGTGCCTAATTAACTTTGAGACATTCTTCTATTGTTTCTTGCCTCAACTGATAAGGCAACTGGACTTTATAACTGACCTTGCTCAACTGATAGGTCAACCTCATGACTCCAGACCCTACGACACCCTCCCAGCTTGCCAAAAACACCCTGAGCTGTAACTTCTGTAACTCTCCACTGCCTATCCCAAACCTGTAAAACCAACTCCTATCCCACTGCCCTCTGCTGACTCTTTTTTTTAGACTCAGCCTGCCTACACCTGGGTGAATAAACAGCCATGTTGCTCACACAAAGTCCGTTTGGGGGCTCTCTTCATTCAGAGCACTTTTTAACACTCCACCCACCCCTTCCTCCCTCCTTTTCAGAGACAGAATTTGGACTAGATTGCACTGGCATAGGATACTCCTGTCACAGGCATGAGAACCAGAGCAACTCCATCTTGAATAGGAGCTGGGTAAAATGATGTTGAGACCTACTGGGCTGCACAGATGATTAAGGCTTTCTAAGTCACAAGATGAGATAGGTGGTCTGCACAAGATACAGGTCATAAAGACCTTGCTGATAAAACAGGTTGCAGTAAGGAAGCCAGCTATAACCAAAACCAAGATGGCCACGAGAGTGATCTGTAGTTGTCCTCACTGCTACACTCCCACCAGTGCCATAACAGTTTACAAAGGCCATGGCAATGTCAGGAAGTTACTCTATATGGTCTATAAAGGGGAGGCATGAATAATCCACCCCTTATTTAGCGCAGTAATTATAAAAATGGGCAACCAGGCCAGGCGCGGTGGCTCAAGTCTGTAATTCCAGCAGTTTGGGAGGCCGAGGCAGGTGGATCACAAGGTCAAGAAATCGAGACCATCCTGGTCAACATGGTGAAACCCCATCTCTATTAAAAATACAAAAAAATTAGCTGGGCACGGTGGCACGCATCTGTAATCCCAGCTACTCAGGAGGCTGAGGCAGGAGAATTGCCTGAACCCAGGAGGCGGAGGTTGCAGTGAGCCGAGATCGCGCCATTGCACTCCAGCCTGGTAACAAGAGCGAAACTCCATCTCAAAAAAAAAAAAGCTCAACCAGCAGCCCTCAGAGCTATTCTGTCGTCTAGTCTATGGGGTAGCCATTTTTTAAATTTCTCTACTGTCTTAATAAACTTGCTTTCACTTTAAGGACTTGCCCTGAATTCATTCTTGTGCGAAATCCAAGAACCCTATCTTCAGTTCTGGATCAGGACCCCTTATTGCTGATAGTTTAATTGAACAGCATTGAAGAGATGAGCAATTTGTGCTATAACCACCAGAAAGGTTAAATGATGCCTCTCAATAGTATCTGAAAACCCCAGAATAAGACCTACACTCATTAATACTAGTCTTAATTTAAAAAAGAAAAAAAAAAAATCCCCAGCTTTTAGCCTTATCACTTCATATTGCTGATCCTGCCAGGATTCATGCACATCAAATTGGCCTATTCATGATTTAGTCTTGAATACAGCTTTAAAGCTGATGTCATAAGATATTTGAGGGAAGCTTTCAAAATACAAGACAGAAACCTAACAAAACACACACATAGTACAGAGGAAACAAGAGCAGTGAAGGTAACATTAAAAAAAATTTAAGATGGATAACAGAATGTATTCATAATCAAAAATAGAAAAGAGTGCTGATAAAAATGAGTATCCAAAAGAAAAAAATACTCTGAGAAATTTAAATGAGAGTATATACATAAAAACACACAGGTTTTAAAGATAAACGAGATTCTCAAATTTAAAAAATAATTCAAATGGATGAATAAAGATAAATTAAAGATTAATTCTAGAGAGCCAGCTTCCTAATAATGAAAATTCAAGAAAAGAAAAATCCTGACAAAGTTTGCATAGGTTGTAGTAGAAGCCTATGGAACACTTACTATTTTAATAATTCAAATGAATAATTCATAATAAAAATAATTTTTTTTTAAGGAGGATCTTATTTTTCACTACGCATGTGAATCTCTTTGTAAAAAATAAAAAAATAAAAATTATTTGAAACCTCACAGAACAAGGTTGAATCTATATACTCCACTTGATGGGTCACCAAATTTTTTAGAAAGTGCATATATGTGACCAGTTTCTTAGCATGAACCCGAAACATTTCTTCCATTATAAAGCAGAAGTTAAACCATAGGCCAGGACAGATCTGAATTCCTCCTGCTGACTCATTTCCATGAATGAAGTAAAACAGTCAAAACCACAAGAAAGATAAAAACTCCAGCTAATGAGGCCATTTGTGCAAATTCATTAGCATGAACACTTCCAATTGATTAGCACAAAGCGTTACAAGGAAACCTCAGGAGTAAAAAGTAACACGAGATTGTAGCCTGCTCTCCCAAGATGGAGAAAATCCCTGGGGAGGAGGCACTGGAGAGTTAAGAAAAGCATATGGCCTCCTTTGCTAATAAAAGTCTAAAAAGAAGCAGCTACCAGAGCAACTTCTTCACTTCTATAAGGTTGCTAAAAGTGAAATCACTTAAGGAAAGTAAATTTTAGTGCTATTTGTAAAATATTATCATTATGTGATAAACAAATGATTGCCACATTTCTCTTGCTGACAAGCCCACAAACATGCCCTGCCCTCTGCCATGCACGTGACTGTTTTTCATTAGTGATTGTGAAGACATCTTCAGCCTTTGAGATGATTTTAGCAGTCCTGCCCCCTGGAAGCTTGAGCTGATCGGGTAATACCTTGGTGGTGAGGTGCTTATTAATAGTACTCACACTTCCCTACCTGTCTCCATTTGGAGTACTTATCCCAACACTGTCTATCCCAATAATCATCCTATTATTTGGTCTTTATTCTCCATGATACTTTATGTTCAGAGAGAATAAAGCACGTGCATTAGTCCATTTTCTTATTGCTATGAAAAAACACCTGAGACTGGGTAATTTATTAAGAAAACAAGGTTTAACTGACTCACAGTTCCACATGGCTGAGGAGGCCTCATAATCGTGGTGGAAGGCGAAGGGGGAGCAAAGGTAAGTATTACATGGCTGCAGGCAAGAGAACTTATGCAGGGGAACTCCCATTTACAAAACCATCAGCTCTCCTGAGACTTATGCACTATCAGGAGAACAGTATGGAGGAAACTGCCCCCATGATTCAATTATCTCCATGTGGCCCTACCCATGACACCTGGGGATTATTATAATTCAAGGTGAGATTTGGGTGGGGACGCAGGCAAACCATATCAGAAAAAGACAATCTTATTTATTGTTCTACCTAAAGCCAGTGATGGACAATCTAACATATTTTGGCAAGGGTGCAAATATTGAAGAAAATAATAAATGACACATGGAACTCTTATTTTACAGATAAGGAAATGCACTATGGAGACTCAAGTACTAGCCAAGGGTTAAATGCAAAACGAGGAGTAGAATTTAGGTCTCCTGTTTACCTGCATTTTGCATTTTCTAAAGTACAAACAGAAATCAGCCCACATACAAGAGCCACTGAAATAAAATTACAAGCTACTTTAAAAACCTTCTCTTCCACTACTCCTACACCTCCAGATAAAAAGATCTGTTAACAGTTTAGATAAAACCCAGCCATACCCCCTCTTGCTTCTGTCTCTGATGGCTGTGTTCATATCGGGAACCTTCACCTTTATCTATAACTACCCCAAAGTTATTATTCAGATTCCAGCTTAAATTTCATCATGTTTATTTACAAAAATGAAATGAAATTAAAATACTGAACACTGCATGTGTACCAAGCAATGCAGAAGACAAGAAAATGCATAATAAATGGGCTCTCTTGAAGCATTTGATTTAACTAGGCTCTTAAAAGGTTGATAATCTCTAGTGTTGCTAAAAAGGCCAGGCAATAGCCATCCTTATATAATGCTGGTCGTTATGCAAATTAGTGCCACAGTTCTGTTTTGTATTGAAGGAAGGGAATTTGGCAATGTCTTTACAAGTTAAAAGTGTGTCCCTTCAGACCCAGCAATTCTGCTTCCGGTAACATCATAAAGATATTCTGTTCTCCTTAGGTACATTAATGATGCCTTAACAATTTTTGTAAGAGTCTAAAACTGTTAGAAGAATCCATCTATAGATACCGGTCACATAAATTATGTTACATCTATACAGTTAACATTTTATTTGTAAAAAAAAAAAAAAATGAGCTAGTTCTCTATAAGGTAATATATAAAAACTTCAAACAAGTGACACCTGCAACGTGCAGAAAAATATGTCTAATATGATTATATATGTTTTAAAAATAGACATTCATATGCCTTTATATACATTAAAATTATGAAGGTAACACTGAAAAAAGCAGAAGTTAAAATCAGTTTTCTCTAGAGAGTGGGATTGGGGATTTGGAATAGAGATTGGTGTTAACCTTTCATTTCATTTTTTATCTTTAATGTTTGGATTTTAAAAAATTGTACACAACTATCATATCCATAGTTAGCTATCTGTTAAATCAGATTTTTAAAATTCTGTGGCTATTTAGCTAGTTGATGGGAAGGTGGTGGGACTGATGGGAGATTAAATGAGGGTGGTATTTTATTTTGGCCTCGTAAATAGCATTTCTACAGGCAGGGATGGTTGAAGCATTGTGGGCATAGAGTGCACTATGCTTCCCAGCACATGGTAGGGAGGCACAACCATGCAATTAGTTCTAGCCAATGAAAAAGGAGTAGCAGTAGCATATCTCAACTCCAGGCTGAGGCAGTGAAAAGCCCCTGTATAATTCAGTTTGGTTATAGAGAAGGACTTGTCTTGAGCTGGTGAAACAAGAATAAAGCAGGCTAGATTGCCAAGTAACTGCAAGCAGAACTCCTACTTTGGTGAGCCTCCTAAATCCTGAAGAGTAAAACATAATCACTCAGATTTAAGGGTGTTTATTACTGTAGGCAAATGTAGCCTAGTATCAGTAGAGGGAATAAGATTGTAGGGAAATGTTTTGGATGTGAAGACCTATGTTTGTAACAGTGAGAGTCTGCTCTGTGTGTAGAGGCAGAGATGGGGGAGACATGCCTCAAAAGTGTCCTAGAGCTCAGAAATAAATGAAATTGACTGCCAGTGTGAAGAAAGACATTCGCTTTGTTCGGATTAACAAGATGCTGAAAGTTTTTCATCGGTTTTGGGTATTAAGCTGGGAAGTGACATGACTGAAGTTTAAGAATTTCAATTATGTAGGAAGATTAGTCTGGCAGTGCTATGCTAAGAGGAATACCTAGTTTTGGAAAGGAAAGAGGAGTAATTGGCAAAGAACACAGAAAAGAGTAAGAGAAAAGTAAGAGTATTTTGTGTTCCAGCGGTCACAGACAAAGGCTGAAGGAGGAAAGGGTGATTCTCAATGTGAAATTCAAGGAAGTGAAATGAGGTGAGGCCTGAGAATAGCAGTTCTGGTGATTAGCAGATGAACTTAGAGAAGGTAATTAGTGGAATAAGATGGAAGGAAACTAGGTTGTAAGAGTCTGAGTGAATAGTGAGTAAGTGATAAGGAAATGGGGTCACCTGCTATAGGAAACTCTCCAAAAAGTTGCAAGGGAAGAGAAGTGAAGGAGAGAAATGGGAACAGCTTGAGGACAATTTTTAAAAGTTAAGAAAAGGCTAGTTTTATGTTTATTTATTTGGCTGTTTATGTATGAAAGACAATTAAATACTTGTGGACAAACAGGAGCCAGGCAGGAGAACAGAACACTAGAGGATGGTGAAGAAAGTTGCCTTGGGCATACCTCTGACACTAGAGAGAGGCATACGAATTAACGATTCTGAAGTGAAGAAGGGAGAACTTAAATGGAACTTACGCTTTGTCCTAACACTTCTTAGTAGAAGAAATGAAAGGCATGTATGAAGGATGGGTATTCATCAAAGTATGAAGTCTGCAAGAAGA